ACTCACTCACTCACCCATTGACCCGTCCATAACATAGCCGACGCGCCGACTAAGAGGTATTTTTTTACAAAAAAATAACTCAAAAATTATCTATTGTTTTAGGAATTTGTAAAACAACTGAAGCTGTCAGAACTGGCAATTGCTCGTGCCCATTCGTTGCGCTTCAAATTTCAAGATGCACTCTCGGAAAAAGGAAGAGACAAGGACGTTGAACAATTCTTGTCGGCTTTGACAGAAAAACCGGAAGTGGAAGTTATTGGTGCCGGTAGAGGACCAGCTGGAAGAGTAATCCACCGACTGTTCGCCAAACAAGAGGTTTGTTTGGTTTTCCCAGTGGTGACAGTGATATTGGACCTTTTTTTTTCTCCATAGCTCTGCATTTCTTCATTATTATTATAGTTAAACTCCTTAACCATCCTTGTTCCTTTATAATTTATTATTATCTCTTCAGTGTAACTCAGCTCCTTTAACAAGGGCGGACTGTACTAATTACTTGGAACTCCTATCGCAGATTTTTAGAACTTTTTATAAAGCTCTTCTCGTGGTTTTCTAGCTGAACTACTTTTATCGCGTTTGTTGAGCTCGTACAACGTACTTCAACCAATTAGGGTGCATTGTTGTCTGATCGCCGCTATCAATTAAGTTGTTATCTAATGCGATCTTTCCAGCGTTTATCACAGGTTTCATCTTTTCCCCCGCTTGCCACACGATACTTGGTTTTCTGACCCGCATTTTCTCTCGTGTCGGTTCATGTCTTTCCGCGCAAGCCATCCCATACAGGTTTTCCCGCACTTGCGACCTGTGACATTTTTTTCCCCGCGAGCCATGTCGCCCGTTACCTGTTTGCCATTATAGTTTTTCCCGCGCGTGTCAACAGGTATATGTTTTCCCGCGCTTGCCTTCCGTTACACATTTTCCCGCGCTTGATACCCGTTAAAGGTTTTCTCGCGCCAGCCACCCACTGCTTTGTGTTCCCGCGCTTGCTATCCGTCTTATACTTACTTCGAATTCTGATTGGTGGATTACGCTGACTTTCTGCAGCTGTATTTGATAGACCTTAGCCGGGTTGTACGAAAGCCGGTCAACGCTAACCCGGGGTTAAAAGTTAACCAAAGTATTAATTTTTCTTGTTTAAACATTCTTTTCGGCGTCTATGTTTTGTATCATCTAGTCCTCTTTGTCCCATGGGGGACATAGGGCGTCCACAATTGCTTCCCATTTCTGTCTGTCCTGAGCCGCTCTTTTGGCTTCACACCAGGTCATGTTGATCTCCTTCAGGTCCTTCTGTATGCTTCTGCGCCATGTAGTTCTGGGCCTGCCACGTTTTCGTGTTCCTTGCGGATTCCAATCCATCGCATGGCGCGCTATGTTTCTCTCACCCTTCCTTAGTGTATGACATTGGTACACAACATGCTGCTTCTAAGTTTCATTCCATTTACCAGTAACGTGCCTCAACTTTTACAGAAACTTATCAAAGTCTGTTCTCTCCGCATATTTCCTCACTTTCGCTTTTTCTTTCCCCACAGCGTCGACCAGCTCCTCCATTCCAAGACTTCCCACCCCCTACCGGTCGGGAGTACATTTTGAGAACAACAATTCCCCGTCCCCGACCCTCGTCACGTTCTTGTCCGCAAAGAATGTATTGTGTGCTGACCAATGACGATTTCAGACTTGCAGGCGCATTTACCGATGATGTCATTTTCCAATGACACAAAACGACTGAGAATCGATTAAAACTCAATATTATTTATGCTCCCTCCCCGGATCAGAGAACCCACGGCCTCTTCTTACCATCAGTTAACCAGTCACTCGACACTAAAGGCTTGATATCCTTCTCACTGATTTTCATACGTTTCCTTTGATCTTTAGTTCTGAGAATTTTTCGTTACATCTTGACTAATTGTTTTTCCTTGTTCTCGTTACTTGTCTTGTTAGGTTATTAGTATTGCAAGTAGAATTTAGAAGTTGATAATTCGGTCTGGCTTCAGCTTGTTAACTTTCCGTTCCTAGCGTTAAACCTTGAGTCAGTTTTTTAACCTGGAGTCGATTAATGTAGTGACAAGTCTGTAGATGAAACTCTAATGAGACCAATTATTGAGCAGTACTTTCATGTGTCACTGTTTATTATTCTGTATAAGATGGTTTTAACTTTTAAGTCTGTGGATGAAACCCTAGTGTGTGACCATCCAATTGAAAACTA